TATTTAAGCAGCATTGAACAAATAGATACTTTTACAAATTGAAGAGCTAATATTTTTTATACAACTCAAATTTATCGTCTATTCTTTTGTCTTACTAATCTTCAAATTTAAAATTTGTGGTAAATATAGAAAGAAATGAGAAATAGTAGTGAAGAAGACAAGACAAGATAAACTAAGTGGATAGCGTATTATTCTTATTAACCACTATTTTCTAAGGTAACCCTAAGTCTATTTTCTCATTATTTTTAGGTTTTTCTTGAGTGATAACAACAATAGTGCTTCTTTAAATACTAGATTATTGCAGTTTTTTGATTAAAGTTTAAAAAAACTGTTGAAAAAGTCAAAAAGATACAGTATTAACGACAACTTAGCAATGTTTGTCAACAGGTGAAGACGAGGAAGAACAAATATGACAATTCTTAGCATTGTGCAGTTGAACTTCAATAGTCTAAGCACCAGCAAATAGCTCATACAACTGTTTTCACGCTGAAACAGCTATAGAAGTCAGCTACTAAGTAGTAGAAGCTAGCAACATTCATTTTGGTTTAAGCTGAGGAAAAAACAACAATTTCACTTTTCAGAACAGAACTATGATATCTGTTCGACACATATACTTAAGCGTGAAGCGCATACTTCTGGATAAACGTCCAAATATACTGCGTGCATATATCAAAAGGTATCTTCGGCCACAATAAGTCTATTTAAATATGCACCATTAATTATTCACTTGTTGATGTTCAACTTGAACAAATTATGGTATTTTTACCTCTTCCTTCCCTAATTGCTTTTTCTAGCTTTCTCCTCTCTCTCTCTTCACCCCCTCCCCTCCTCCCCTCTGTCAAAAAATGGGTGGAAAAGAGAAACAAAACAAAGTAAATGAGGCAACAAATAAATATATATATATTAAAAAATTAAATTGCTGTTCATCGTTGAATGAAAAAAAGCAGACAAAAATGTAATTTATTGCTTTAAAAGAAAGAAAAAAAGACACAAAAAGTGATTTAATTATGTCAACTTTTTTTCTTCAGTTTTTTGTGGTGCAAAAAACAAAAAAACAAAAAAAAATGATAATTGGGCAAATATGTAATTTAAAAGTAGCATTTTGTTCTTATTGCTGTTCGGCTTAAACGTTAAGACTTTCTGTTGGTCAACTATTTTCAATAGGTTTTTTTCCTACATCTCCACCTATAGATTTTTTGTATAACTCATTATCGGTAATGTAGACAAATGTATAAGCGGAAGAAACAGTATATCCTTATTGAAAACTAAAGCAAAAAAACTTTAGCTGAACTGTTACAGTAAAACCGTCTTTTTTCCTGCTCAAATTTAGGCTAATATCTTTTTGCAAGTATTCCACTTTCTTAACTCAACGCTAATTTTGTCTTTGAGAATGACAGTTCTTAAAAGCAGTGATAACAGTAACAGTGGAAAAACATTAAGTATTAGAGATATACTAACTGATAAACATAAAAAACAGATAAAAAAAGAAAAGAATAAAACTTTGACATGAAAACTGCAAAATTGTTTTTACTTTTCTTTTTTTTTTTTTTTTCGTCGTTCTTGTCGTTTTTGAGTTTCAATTTTCTATTTTTATCAAAAAAAATAAAATAATTCTCAAAAATTGAATAAGTTATACTTTAAAAAAATTATATTTAGAAAAAAACCAATCATTCAAAAGGCTTTTTTTTTTTTTGATGATGAGGTTTGGAGGAATGGGAAAAGAGGAGAGAGAGTAAAAATATGCGAACAAAATTTTTGCGGGGGAAATATACGAGTAGAAACAAAAAAGAGTAGTTGAATTAGAAAAATTAGTGAGTGGTGAGGTGGAAACAGATAAAACAGAAAAAAATTGTCTTAAACAAACCGTTAAATAGAAAATTCATAATTTTAAAAGCACTTAAACAGATTAAAATTGGGAAGTGTGAGGTTACACGTAAATTCAGTATCTAGAAGAGTACCAGAGCCGATAATTATTCAATTCACTCATTCGTTCTAGTTCTTTCTCAATTTTTCTAAAAATCTTATTTTTCTTTTTCCTATAGAACCGTAAGAAAAACTTTAGAAGCATAGTTCGACGAGTCAGCACTAGGACAGACAGTTTGCATCAAGTAATACTGGCGGCGATGATGCTAAAGAAGCCCAGCAAACCAACCAACTTTTGTTCTACTGATCACCATAAACAGGGTACAATAATGATGACAGCAGCTAAAGAAGAATTTATCTTAGTGATGTCTATTAAAAAGGCAACAAGAAAAAACAGAAAATAATTTGTGATTAAGGTATATTGAAACAGGAACAAAAATTGTTTTCATAAATGTCACTGCAAAATACAATTTTTTTACTTACTTTTTTCGTTTTAAACGGAGAGGGGTGAGAAGTGACGGAGAAAGAAAAAAAAGAAAACTTTGGAAAGGCAGAGAAACAATAATAATTTCAATTAGTTTGTTGTCATTACCTTGAATTTCCTTTTTTTTTTCTTTTTGTTTCTTGCTTTCCACAAATATGAAGCTTTTTTGAACTAAGTAATTCTGCTAATCTAATCACCAAAAGTGTTTCGACGATGCAAAATGAAAATTATGTGAATTTTTTATCAGCAGAAGAAAAGTTTTTTAGTTTCTTGTTTCAATCACACATTAAAAAATTTACAAATAGAATTAGAATCTTTATTACTGTTCACCACAATTTTATCAATAAACATCAATGATAAACTCCAATAGATGAATCCTAACAGATAAAGAGCAAGAGTTCTCAGCAAGTTATATTTCCGACTGACTTCACAATCATCGCTTTTATTTTACCGTCTGAGAAAACTTAAAACAATTTTTAAGATTTTGAAAATTTCAGATTCCAAATTCTTTTTTACTGCCGTTACTGTTTAGCTGTCGACAAAAAGAAACAAAAAAGTCATCAGTTCCTTAAAAATTGCAACTTTTTTGCAGCTTCCTTTTCCTTTCTCTTCCTCAACCATCCTGTTATAAACAACAAAAGTTGTTGTTTAAAAAACAGCTTTAATGACAAAATGTAAACTGCGACTTAAAAAGGAAGCTAAACCGCTAAATCGTATAATCTCGTCAACTTCCTCCATTGCTAAAAAAATCATTCATTTTTTTCGAAGTAAAAAACAAAGCAAATTCCGTTTCTATCAAATTAGTGACTGACTTCATAATGGTTTTACTTTTTTGTTTAACAGCAGCTATAAATTCTAACCATACAGTAAAAGATTAAAAAAAAAAAAAAAAGAAAGATTTCTACAGACATTACTCAAAATCATTTTTGTACTTCTTTTTATCCTGTCCTTGTACCTGTGATCTTTATTCTATTTATGTCAAACTTTTTCGACTTAAAAAAGTCTTGCGTCTTTGGCAAACATTTGAATATCCATTTAGGACATGGAGAAGCCCCTGACTAGACAAACAGTGGGAAGCCTATTAATCTCCAGCGATCTCAATGGCAAAAAAGCTGACAAACTAAAATGGAATTTTACTGTTAAACAGCTAAACAGTTCATGTCAGATGTTCAGTCTTTCGTTCAAAAAAAGCGAAAAACTTCTGCTTTATCATTACCGCCAAATACTGGACGAGTGGTTGATACCGGCGCATCTGGAAAGCAGGAAGTAGAGATCTTTGTCTAAAACACTCCTAATAAATCCAACTTGTAATCAAGTTAACCTCATCACGTTGTCCAAAATTCATCAAACTTCAAAAAAAAATTTTTTTTTGATAATCCAACACCGAAAAAATCTAGCGCTTGAACGGCTTCTATTCTTCTGAGAAGTAATTGAACAACAGCTGCAGTGAAACATATATTAGCATTTATTCACTATATAATGAACAACAGCCTTTCTCTTTCAATTTTGCTTTTTCCACTTTTTCTGTAATAATGTTAGGAATGCTGCCAAAGGATACAAAAAATGAATAGAAACAATCCTGACAACAAAAAAACATGGACCCGAACGCATATCACTGAAAATCGCTGGCATTTCTTGTTTCGTTTAATACAACAAACAAAAAAGATTAGCTAATAAAATATTTTAGGAAAGATAAAGAAAACGAACTTTAAAGAAATTCAAAAAAGTGAAGAAAAGCAAGAAATCTACAAACATTCAACTGAAGAAACCTATTCGGCTCAAACCTATTAAAATCGAGATAAAAATTAATTAAAAAAAGAGCAATCTGTACAAAACTTGCATAATAAACTTTAATTTTTCTTTAAACAACTTGCACTATTAAAACAGATATTTTTTCTTCAACATTAAGGAAAGCAGAAAAAATACAGCGTCTATTTGCGGTGCACTCAAATAAAACCGTTGGATGACATTGTCTCAAGCTCCTCTTGAAACTAGAAAATAAACAAAAATGAAATCAAAAAAATAAATTGAAAAGAAAGCATCAGAAAACTTTTCGAGAGGAAACAACCAATAGAGAAACAGTTATTCAGAGAACACCTACAGTGATCTGTAAAACCAAACATAACAGAGAAAGAAGGCAACAAAGAGGAAAATTAGGAAACAGATAGACGAAGAAGAGAAAAAGGAAGGGAATGACAAAGACGAGGAAGAAGTTAGGTCTAATCAAAAGACTCCGATAAAGCATCCAGCTCTTCGCTGAAACGGCAAATCCTTCACTGAAGGAGAAGCGCTACTGTCCGTGGTAGGAAAAGTGTGTTTTAACTATTGGCAAAGATAAATTGGCATTTTATGATCAAATTTCCATGTTTCGCAGTCTTTCGCGTACATACCAAAAATCACTCTCCTTTGAATTCTTTCTGCATTTTTTCTCCAAATATCGCATTAAATAACTGCAATATAAAAAAAAATAAAATAAAATAAGGATAAGTTGATTTATCAGTATTATTATTAGGGTATTTATAAATAAAAACTTTAAAGGTCAAATTTCCGTCATTGTTCCAGCGAGCACTCGATCCTTAAAGTTCCATTTAAAATCAGAAAATAAATCTGTAATTCTCGTTCAACAATCATTCTACATATGAAAGTTTCTGTTTCAGCAAAAGACATAAGAACTACCAACCGATGAAACAAATTTGTGAACATAACAAGTGGAGTATTTTCCAACTCCAAAAAATCGAATATCTTCAGGTTTTGCGGTCTTCCGTTTGACTCGTGAATGCAGCGTTATTTTTGGATCCACAATAAAACTGTACAAAAGGTAAACCCAGCTTTTATGATTCAGAAAATTTGCATAATATTCAGGAGCTATTTTCCGTATCTAAACATATCTTCACACATGACTTTATCAATAAATGTTTCACATGACAATATTTTCTCAAACCAGGAAAAGCCGATATCATCTGATTAACATCCAAAGTGTCACTATGCAAGTGTCACTTTAAGATATTCAACTTACCCGCGGAAGATTAGCTCCACAAATAAACGGAAAATCGTGATGTTCAATGTGATGACCGACGTTAAATGTGACTAAATTTATTGGTCCGTAATAGCTGAAATCGAAAAGCATTAAGCAGTTTACCAGAGCTGATAACAAAAAATATATATTTTTACTCTAATTATTTCTGGTACCTGTAGGTTTCTTGTCCAGGTTTAAATGTATAATGATCAGATATATAGTGACCAGAAAGCGGATGAATACCAGTACCAATTAAGAATCCACCAAGTAAAAATGCAACTGCCTTTGGACCAAGATAAACGATAACAAAATAATCGACAATCAATTGGAAAATGAGATTTATTAATTCAAAATCTGTTACTGCCTAAACCAATCAATAGAAAAAAGTGTCTGGATACATGACTTTATAAGATAAACAGAAGAAAAAGTATAAAAAGCAGTTGTCTCTGCATATTACTTATGAGGAAAAATGAAACGAAACAGTGATGCTAGGATTGTTTCAAATTTCCACCTCGTCTATATAGTCCCAAAATTATCAACCTAAATGAATCAAAAATTTCAATTACTAACTTTTTTATAGGTGACAAATGGACGTATGCCATAAAAGAGTGGTTGTAGAAACATCCAAATCAATTTGCCAAAAAGTCCTCTAAAAACTTGTGTTTCAAATTCTGTTGGAATATCTGTATCAAGAATATCCTCACCTGAAGAAAAGATAGAACACAGAAGAATCACTGAGAAAATTTTAAAGAAAACTGGAAGAATAATTTTAATAAACACTTAAGCAGTGTGATACCCATATATCGATGATGTTCGTCGTGATATTTTTTGAACGAAACAGACATAGGAACAAGCATAGGAATGTTAGCCACAAACCCAAATAAACGATTCTGAAAAAGAACCTAATAACAATAATAGCAATATGTAGCTATTATTACTATAATAACAGTAATAATAGCTATAACCTAATGATAATAGCTATATATACAGCTATTATTATTATTAAAATATATATATATATATATATATATATATATATA